TCTACTGTGAGATTCCTCATAAGCTGATCATAGAAAACTGCTAACACTATCTCTGGGCATCTGTTCCTAGGTGGTCAGCTTCCTTCCATGACCTTTGTGGGCTTGGGGACTAACATTCTGGGAACCAAGGGGAGATGATGGCTCATTCTCTCAGCATCTTATATGCATGTGTTCATCTGGTCCCATTCATTTGCTCTCACCTGTACCATCTCGTCCCCCATCTCTCTAGTTCGAAGGTCTTCTCTTTTGTTTTCTCTAGAAATTCCAGTTATTTGCTAGGGTCTGTGGGGGATGGACAGATGACCTAGGTGTATTGAGAGGGAGGGTGGTCAAGGGGCTAGCCACTTCTTAGATGGACATTCACCCTAAAGCCTTTGGGGCTTCTACAAGGTAAACTTTGCTCATTGCAGGTCTACTGGTTTTTTTTGCCATTCTTTTGTAACTGTTGTCTCCAATTTTATTCTTCTGTTGGTATTGGTTTATGCTTTTAAAAATAATGCACTTTATTGGAGTTTTGGAGGAAGAAAAGCTGGTTTCCTGCATTGAAGCCTCCGTTTTCACCTGGAAGTCATACCATTGTTACTTATTTACTGGACTTCCAAGGATATGAATTTTATAGGACTCCTTATTAGGAAGTACTTAAAAGAAAAGTAGAAAAATGAAGAAGGTAGATGTGGCTATAGTCTGTCATGTTGGCCCATGTTGTGCTTTTGTTAAGCTATGCCTGTCTCTTCCCACTTGTAAGTGGCTAAGAATCAAGGCAATGATTAAGGATATGGTTTTACTTCAAGTCCAGAAGAAGCTACATACATCACTGGCTTGTCTCCAATGTCTCTAGACCTCACTGTCTCTTTAAAAATGAGATGCTTGTGTGCTGCATCTGCTGTGTGGGTCCTACCTTTTCTCTCTGCTTCCTGATAATTAGTATCTAAGCACCTTTCCTCCTACAGACCCTGCTACCATCCCTGATCTGTCTTGGAGCCCAATGACTATGAACTAAATCTTCTAAGAACTGGAAGTTCAAATAAACCTTTCCTCTTTTCAGGGCCACAGGGGTCTAGTATTTTTCCCAGCAGTGGATATCTTAATAAACCTTGAGTTATCTACCTTTAAAAAAAAAAAATGAGATGCTTTTAACTTCTCAGCTACAAAGAGAGGGCTCTCAAGAGTGGGTACCATAGCCAGTCATGGCCACATATACCTGTAATCTCAGCACCCTGGGAGAGACTGAGGCACCAGTATCACAAGTTTTAGCTTAGCCTGGAAACTTAGTGAGATCTTATCTCAAAATAAAAGAGGGTCTGGGATGTGGCTCAGTATGAAGACCCTGAGTTTAATCCCCAGAACAGTGTGTGTGACCACCTGATTTCAGAATCAGGATACAACTTATAAGCAAGTTTCAGAGAATGGCTGTCCCTGTGTTAGGTTGCCAGCAATTCTGAGAATGCCTGTCTCATATCTCCTAAGTTACATCCACCAGTGACTTTCACACTTGAATTTCACCAGAAATCATACTTATTTTTTCTAAGTCTTTGTTTCCTATTTTAAATTTTTATTTTTTTATTTAAGGAGTTTCACATTGTATTTCTTTGAATCTAAGTTGCTAGAGCTTGAGGATAATAAATAATTACCTTTCCCTGGTGCAGAGAGCTCTTTCTGGTCCTCATGGAGGCCCAGGAAGTTTATATTTGTAATCCCATTGATAACATTAGAATCCCACCAAGTTAAGTCTAATCTACCATACCCAGTGCAACCTATGGGGAGAATAAAGATACTAATGCATATTTTTAGTTATGGGGAACCAAGGGGCCCTAAGTCCAGCCAAGATGATGGCTATCCAAAACAAAAGGCTCAAACCAAGGCCAAACCTGGGTTTTATTCATTTATGAAGAAAAGGAGTAACTTGAGGATGAGTGACAGTGAGAATGGTGGGAAGTAGGAGTGTGTCATAAACTGGGCAAGGTAGGAGGCCCAAAATCGCCTCTGCAATAGACAGAGAAAGATATGCTGAAAGAGTAATCTACATAACACAATTGAGATAGTTTCTAATGTTTTGGGGTTGGTGCTTTAGCTATGATGTGTAATCCTTCTAGTCCTAGCAAATCATAGCCATTATCTCTGAGGCTCAGTCCCAGCCAACACCTGGAGCATTGGCTCTTCGCCTAGTCTGTCCCAGCTTACACAAGGGATCAACAGGTAGGAGCCTGGGGAAACACTGCCTGCCGTCTTCAAAGCTACCCTCAGCAGCTAGGCTGGATGGATAAGCATTGCTTAAAGCCCATAGAAGTGATAAGGAACAGTCCTATCCAGCACTGCACAAGTCAATACACAGAATTAGGGTCAGGCTAAGTCAAAATGAAGACAATTGCTCCTCTTTTAAGGAGAGTCACTCAGGTGGTCCTCCACACCTGAATTCAGAGTTAGTTGATAAGGGATCCAGAAATATAGAGAAAAAAATTCACTGTTTCTGGGCTGGGTGTAGTAGTGCACACATGTAATTCCAGCACTTGGGATGCTAAGGCAGGGAGATGAAATCCTAGGTTTCATTTCTGGGAGTTGAAAGCTAGCTTGGGTTACAAAGTGAATTCAAGCTGGCCTGAACTGCATGGCAAAACCCTTCCTTAAAAAAACCCAAAAAACTTTTCTTATTGATTTTTAGTGGTAAAAGAACTTTGAAAAGTGTCATGTTTGCTGGTCAGTGTGTATATGAATTTGACATGCACTCACATGCCAAATTGAACAATCACAGGCCACTCCCTAGATGTTCAACACTCTAAAACTTAAAGCAAAAAAGAATAATAGTTCCTAGAAGTGGGCTGGAAGAAATGTGTTACTATAATAAAATTCCCCATCATTGGACATTAAGAATGGAGAAATATGTTTCATAATATAAAATCATATGTGTCTTTAGACAGATTGGCAATTTATAGCAGATCCTTAAAAATGCTGTTCAGTAAGGTTATGTGATACATTTAGATTTCAGAAACATGAAAATGCTTTTCTCATCTTAGAAGTGAGGGAAGTATAGCGTTGTAAGTTATCTCTCCTTTGTTCCTTCGAGATTTGGACTAAGTGGAGAGTGTACTTTCACCTGGGTTGGGGAGCCCCTGCTGTAAACCCAACCCTTTTACAAGCTAGTTGGGAGTTCTTGACCCCACTGAATTCTCTACTTCTGTTTTATATCTGTGCAATAAGGAGCAGAGACCAGCTAGACAGATTAAAAGGATGCTCAATTATAAAAAAGATTAAAGAGCAAATAGATAAAGACAGACTTTTTGGGATAGGGATGTATGGAATCAGGGGTAAGGGAAGGGTGGGAGAAGAGGATATTGAAAATGATAAAGATATGTTACATATATGTACCAAGCCTCCCAAACAAATGTAAATTTCACATTTTATAAACATGTCAATAAAAAGTAAATATTGGGCCGTCATGCCGCGGCCGTAGTCTCATGTTAAGAGTCGGCCAGAGTGGGGGCTCCGGTCCCACATCCCCGCGGGACTCGGGACAGCGGGGATGATGGCGATGGTGAGGACCAACAGCTGGAGACTGCAGTCTGCCACCTGCCGAAGGGACTGGCTGACTTGTCATTTGAGGAACTGCTGGAACTCCAGAGCCAAGTGGAGACCAAGACACAGAAAGCATTAGTAGCTAGAAAAAGCACTAAGAATCCAGGCTCTAGAGGCTCTGCCGCGAACCCCTGTGTTGCAGATAAGCACAGGCCTCTGGAAATGTCAGCCAAGGTCCGAGTGCCATTTTTACGTCAGGTTGTCCCCATCAGTAAAAAGGTGGCCCGGGATCCCCGATTCGATGATCTATCAGGGGAGTATAATCCTGAGGTGTCCAACAAAACTTATGAGTTCCTGAATGACATCTGAGCCAGAGAGAAAGAGCTGGTGAAGAAACAGCTGAAGAAGCACCAGTCAGAGGAGCAGCGCAGGAAACTGCAGCAGCTTCTTCAGTGGCTGGAGCAGCAGGAAGCAGCCCAGCGGAAGAGGAAGCACCAGCAGGAGCTCCACCTGGCCCTGAAGCAGGAGCAGCGTGCTCTGGCCCAGGAGGGCCATCAGCCGCCATACTTCCTCAAAAAATCTGAGCAGCGCCAGTTGGCCCTAGTGGAGAAGTTTAAGGAGCTGAAATGCAGCAAGAAGCTAGAGAGTTTCTTGAGTCAGAAAAGGCGTCGCAATGCAGGCAAGGACAGGCAACATCTGCCTTCAAGCAAAGAGTAACAAGGAGCTGTCCTGTCTGCCACTGACCAGGGAGATGTGGATCTGGAGGGCTGGCTTGGGACTGGCCTGTTCTGCTAGTTCTTCTCTGTTCAAGGGCAAAGATCTGCCCCAGTACTAGGTTGGCTCAAAGACAGGAGGGATTTTGGGTGGCCTTTGGACTGGAGAGAAAATGTCACTCGGCTGCTGCTGTGCCACACTGCCTCTGCGTGGACCCAGTCATTGTGTCCTTGTGTCCTCCTTCCATCTTTGCCTTAACTCAGTAGTTCTGATACGGAAGCGGGGCCCATGGGATCTGTTCATATGGGAGCTGTATCATAAACATTCTTGTTCATCTTTGTAAAAAAAAAAAAAAAAAAAAAAGATGAAGGCTAGGACTTGAGCCTCCATAATTAATTACTTTCAAAATTGGGACTAAAATCCAACCATTTCCTTAGTTTCATGTTGTATACTATCTCCTTTTCAGATGGACTTAAATTGCGCTTAGACAAAGTAGTTTAGTTATAGCAAAAAAAGTGATCATTTCTTCATTGGGCAAATATCAGTTGTGCCTCCACTTTTATGGCAAATAATGTGGCAGGCAATAAGGATGAATAAGACATATGCTCGACTTTCATAAAACCTGTGTCCTTCCTTGTTTGTAGTTGTGCTTGACTACCTACTATCTCCTTTTCCATTTAGCTTCCTTGAGGTCTTCAGACTGATCACTGGAAGACCTTTTGGGCTGCCTTGAAGACATATCTGCACTAGCCTCATTCTGATTGTTCTCTGTTTAGGGTGCTTAAGCTGGCATTATTATGTGACCATGCCAATGCCAGCCTCCACTTTCGCCATTGCGGTGGGATGCTGGACAGAAGTAAAGCCTGAGACGTGCTCATCGAATGATCTGGCAATGGAGAGACCCTGCCCACTCCCTGAGACCAACTGCAGGTACGTATTTGGGAACTTGCTGCAAACCCAGCACTTGAGGGAGCAGCAGTGTGATGCGTGTCTTCCAGCCTCTGGGACTATGAGTCATCTCTGCTGGGAAACCAAACCAAAATAGGATTCATCAGAGTAGGAAAAGGCCGACCATGAAGAAAGGGAGAATCAAGAGGCAGAAATGTGGGCATGTTGTTTATGCAGAAAGAGAAGAAAAGCCACATATTTGTAAAATCCTTTGTGAGGTCAGGTGAAATATTTTCATGTTTGTTTTAAAGGATCCTCAGGTTCAATACTCTCTTTCCTCATCCATGGTTTAACTTTGGCTTTTAGTGTTTATCTGCTCAAAAAGAAGCTTAATAAGAAGAAGTTGCTTGTCTACAGATGGCTTTGTAGGCCACTCCACTGTTTTGTAATCTGGTGATTACAATTAGCAATGCCTTGGAGGAAAAGCCTCCCTCAGTGGGGGCTGAGGACTCCAGGAAGCTGCCCCAAGCCACTGGCCTCATCCTGCTGTGCTTTTTCTTTTTGGATCAGGGAAAACCCATTTGAAGTTTTTAAAAAATAGTAGAGCCATTGGATATTCTTTTGCAGCCTCCCAAGAGAGGAGGTACTAGTTCTGAAAGCCTAAAGAGGAGGAGGGAGCTGCCTAGAAGAGACATAGAATGCACTGCGCTTCATCCTGAGGACTTCCACATCCAGCTCCACTGACTCTTTTCCTTGTTATCAAATCTGTTCAACCAGGTATTTCTGGTGCAGACACTCCAAAGCAGTGGTATAGATAGTCTGTTCATTCTTAAGTTCCTTTTGAGTTGGTATTATTTTGCCCCGTTGCTTTAATCTTACCACAGTGACTACAGTGGTTGGTATCTTTAGGATATAAAGCCATGTGTTGTTTTATCCTAACAGACATATTTTGTTTTCTTGGCGGCAGAGAGTTAATTTCCTCTTCTTGCTCAATGAGGAGTGCCTGTTTTGAATATCTGTACTGAACTATATAGGATATTCTTATTTATCAGATTTTACCTATGTCCTCTTAAGGGAATAAGGGAATTGTGTACACAAATGACATACGCTGCTTTCATGTGGGGACATTGAATTGTTGCTTGCTGTGCCTGCCCTGGGACCCCAGAATAGGCTTCATTTTGCATTTGTGAGTAGCCTGAACTTGAGTGAGGGGTCCAGGTGCCTGCGGAGTTGCTTGATCCACAGTGGGTGAGTATGATTGAGACACAAACTTCCTTGTGCTAAGGTCCTGAAGTGCTGGCGTTGCCTGTTAATGCAACACATTCTAACCCAATGATGGCAAAGAGCTTTCAATGATAACAAATAGCTGGCTACAACACGTATGCCATAGGTTTGCCACCATTGTCTAGCCTGTCCTAAAGTGATATAAAAGCTATTGGTTGTCTGCAATCAGGAAAAATCTTGACTATATTGTCTCATTTAATCCTGAGGATAAGTGTATAAGGATTAGTTTTAGTATTCCCATTTATAGGTAAAGATACTAAGGTTTAGACAGTAGCTTGGTTGTATTATTCTGTCTACTAAGTAATAATACATGGGTTCACTCCCAGGGCTGACTTCCCAGAAAGATGATTTGGAATCTTACCTCTAGATTTTTTTTTTTTTTTTTTGAGATAGGGTCTCACTATGTAGTTCAGGCTAGCCTTGAACTCAGCAATCCTCTTGCCTCAGCCTCCCAATGCTGGGATTATAGGCCTGACCACCATGCTTGGCCACTTAGATTTTTCAGATTTTTAAAATACTATACCTAGCATCCATCTGGATTCTGAGACAGTTTTCTACCTGGAGAGTTCACTGCCATAATGGAGCTACTGATACTGATGGAGTGTGTTGTCTTAGAACAGGAAACAGCCTTTCAGCCTGAGGTGCTATCCTTACCAGCTGGTTATGGTACTTCGTGCAAAATACAGTATCCTTTTATGTAGAATGAAGACCTGTGTTCATGGGTTCTCAAATTCTTCTTGATGAAGAAGTACTCTGTACTTCACCCAAAGACAGAGATCATTGGCTGTGAAGAAAAGGAGCTTGAGGAGCTGGGGAGATGGCTCAGTGGAATAAGCGCTTCCTTGGCAAGTGCAAGGGTCTGAGTTCAATCCCCGGTTCCACAAAAAAAAAAAAAAAAAAAAAAAAGAAAGAAAGAAAGAAAAGGAGCTTGAAACATACATGCCTTGAAAAGGTTAGGAGGAGAAAGCAAAGAAATATGTTACTTTGCCCTTCTAGCCATTTTCCTAGGAGATACAGGGTAAAAGAATGGGCAGCAACATCCTATATGATTTTTCCTCTTGCCTGAAAAAAGCTGATGACCTCTCACTTGTCCTGCATCTGTTATTCCAAAAGAAGGAAGCCAAGTCAAATGGGAGTTCTGGGAAGAGATGCCTAAAATTTCTATTGGGATTTCAAAGAAGACATTAATTCTTTCTTGTCCTCCTGTGTTCAAAACCACTATAGGAATAGACAGAAGCAGATTCATACAAAGGTTGTATTATTGACAAAGCTAGACTGAGTGGATGCTCCTGCACATGGTCTAAGTGGACTTCCTAATACTCCTTTTCCAAATAAGACAAATTTCCCTATGTGATTATCAAAGCAGCTAGATTGCTGCTGGCCTCTGTGCCTCCACACCTCCATGCATACCCTGTCTAGCTTGAGCAGAGGAGGCCCTTTGTAAAGGAGAGAAGATTTTGTAGAATGGTCTACAAAGAAAAGGTCCGAGTGGCCAGCCCATCAGGAATGTGAGGGAGAGAAAGTGAGAGGGTTCCTCTCTAGGGTAGTAGATCTTTTTATGGACGGGGCTCCTCCCACTCTGCCTTCCACATCTGCAGATGATGCCTATTGTTTCCCTTCATTTATCAATGTATGTGTCTATCAGAAATGTACTGATAAAATAATAGCTTACATTTGCTTCATCTTGCCCTGACTTCATGCTTCATATGTGCTATCTAGTCTTCAGGAGATGACTTTATGTCTTTATCCATGAAACCTTCAACTCTTTGCTAGGTTTGCCTACAAAGATGCTCTGAAGTGCCAGTTGTCGGGGTGTTTCTTGTTATATTCACATCTGCTTCCCCTTATCTTCCCCAGGTCTTTTTTTACTTGAGACCTTCCTGTGACCACCAGTTAGTTCAATTCATGTAAATCTTAACTTTTACAGGGGCCTTGTATACCATAGGCTTTTATTTGCCTAAAGTGTTCATCTGGGTTCCAGAGATTTGGCCAAAGGTTCGGTCACTGAACTTTTGATCACTGTTCACATGGGCTGAATTATAAAAAGAACATTCTTGGTGCCCACTCCAGTTTCACACATGTGCCAGCCCACTCTGAGTGAGCATCTCACTAAACCATTAGCTATAAGGCACTCAGATAAACTGTTGAAAGTTTATTAATTTCATTTGGTTTCAGCCACAAGGGAATCTTGTATTATATTTAACCTCTTGAGGCTTTTGTTGAGACCATACAGCTTATGCACAGTATGGAAACTTGGATAGACTCCAGAGAAACTCAGAAAAAATGATTAAAGGCATGGAAAACGGACTCTGTAAAGCGGAAGAAAAGGTACTGAGGTTATTCATTCTGAAAAAGAGAAGACTTTGCAGGGTAAGAGGTCTTCTTTAGAGCTGTAAAGACTATGAGAAGTTGTCCTTAAAGAAGGACTTGATGACTGTGTACCTCTTCAGAGACAAGGCCGTTGTTTGAAGAGGGGCTGAGGTGGTGAGGTTGTTTGAAGAGGGGCTGAGGTGGTGAGTTGTAGAATCATAGTGCAAAAAGAAACCTTAGAAACCATTCTCAGTTCTTCAATTTTAATTAAGATATCATTAATGTCTAACACAATGTGCAAGTCTTAAGTATTTGGCTAGATGAGTTTCTAGCCATTGAATATATCCTAAAGTAGATTGAGATCTTTGGTCACCCTGGGAAATTCCCTTATGCTCCTTTCCAACCAGTTCCTTTCCTCCTCTGTCAGGCCTCTGTGGTGAGTCCATGGGAGACTCCAGCTATTAAGTAGCTTGTCTCACATCAGCACAGGTCTAAGAACAACCTCTGAAGTCTAGGTTTCCTGTCCTCACATAGGAACCCACAAATAATTTTCTTTGTGATATTTACATTTCTGTTTGTATTTGGTCTTACTTGCTTGGAGTTTGACTGCCTTAAAAGTCCTGCATTTTTTCCTAGGCTTTTCTATAAAAAATGGTGCTAATTCATACAACTGGAATCATCTTTTTTTTTTTTTTCTGGATAATTTTTTTTTCTTTAAAAATGTTAATTTCATAACATGGTCTGGAATCATCTTAATGACCTAGTCTAGTACCATAGATGTCCAGAGAGAAATCTGAATTGCCTTTTCCTTTGAAAAAAATTTTTTGGTGGGGGGCATAATGTGGCTACTTTCATTTATTCTTTAACCTTTTATATTCTTGGATATAAGAAATAATATTCCCTTGGAAATAAGCTTGTGCTTGTGAGTTTCTAGATGGAATGCCTCTTTGCAGTGTTGTTGTGTGGTACATAGAATTTAAATTTATGTACACCTTCAGTTCCAGTTTTTTTTTTTTTTTCTTTTTTAACATACTCTGAAAGCTTCTCTTTCTTTTTTTGTTTTTTTAAAGACAGACTCTTGCTAAGTAGTTTATGGTGTCTTGAATTCGCTGTATAGCCTAGGCTGGCCTCAAACTCCCCATAATCCTCCTGCCTCAGCCTCTTGAGTGCTGGGATTACAGGTGTGTTATACCACAGCTGGATAGAGACATCATAACAGGTGAAAAAACAAAGCTTTGTTTGTTTGTTTTGTTTTTTGTTTTTGAGGGGTGGGGTAGGTAAGTTTTCTTGGGGGTCTGTGAGTCAGATTCTAGGAATTCTCTTTCAGCTCTGCCTTTGACCTAATAACTGCACAGTGGTCAGATGGTGCTGGCTGGGCTGAGATCTGTTTCCTTAAAAGTTTGACTCAGTTAAGTTTGTATTGAAAGTGATGGGAGAAGACACTGTATCCAAAGAACTTCTTTTGTGTGTTAAGATAGCATTCTGTGTTCTTCAGTAACTTCTGATAGGCTTTGTAAAGAACATGTAGGTTACTTTGTAGTAAAATGGTGTGTGTTCTTTGGAAATGCTATATTTGTGTCTGCTACTAGGTTCAATGTTCCACCTCCTGAGTCTTTGATTTTAGGAAATGTCAGAATACTATCTTTAATTTGACGCTTTGTCCCTCTCTTTCTGAGTTACAAATCATCTCCGATTGAAAGATTTTTTTTGCATGTGATGATGTTTGAAAGCATAGTACTGAGGCAGAAATTGTTTTTATTGGGGTGAGAAGTAGTTTTATTGTTTTAGTTCTTAGATTCTCCCCCCGTGTAGTTTATTCTAAAACAATATTTCACTGCTTTTACATAGATTAGAATGAAGCTACTTAGTTGATTCAGGCACATTAATAAAGATTTTGCCCTGTAGATTTCATTGCTGTCCAGAAACAGACAAGCCAAGAATTTGGATGAACTGTGTTTATTTATGAGCCTGTCTGAACCACTGTCTCCGAAAAGTTGCCCATGTCTGCAAGAGTTCCTCACCTCCTCGGCAAGAGGAGTAAACCCAACTGGCCAGTAAGCATGTCTGTTTTTCTCATGTTGGTCCCAGGCATGTTGGTGTTTGCAGTCACGTGGAGTATCCCTGCCGCTTCCAGGATGCTGCAGCCACTATCCAGAAGATCATTCCTCATCGAGTCTTTGCTCCAGGCTGCCTCAAGGGAGTCTGCCAAGAGACCCTTATGTGGCTACTTCCTCCTTGCCTCTCTGCTGCACATTCTGTCTTAGGGACACACCCATTCTCCCGGCTGGATATACTCATTGTCCCTGCCAACTTTTCAAGTCTGGGAATGGCCAGGTATGTTTTTCTGTTGTGGCCCTTAGAGTACATGCTTTGATAGTTTGAGGGCTATTTCTTGGGTTTTTTTGGTCTCTGCCACAGGGCTGGTGTTTGATTAGGATGGAAGGGCCATGTTGCTCACTGTTGCACATCTCATTGCTGTCTTGATGGACAGTTTTCAAGCAGATTCCACCATGCATGTAGCTGTGTGTATCATGGGCTCAATTCAGACTTACTGGAAAATGAAAAGCTCTCATTGTTGCTGGGATTGAGAACACACTGTGCCCCCAGAGTGATGTATGTTGGGTCATGGCTGATCAGTGGCTATTAGCTGGGGTGATGAGAGCATAACAGAGTACTAGGTCATAGCGCCAGGCTTTGGGCACAGTAACATGACCTGGTCCCAGGGCCACAGGCTGCCTGCCTAATCCTCACCAGCTGTCTCATCCATTCTCACCATTGGTCACAAGGCAACCATTGGAAAGGCCCTGTGCCAGAAAGAGTGTAGATGAATCAATATAAATCCATCCTCTTTGCAGGAAAAACAGCTCAAAGCAGATGGGTTACCATTGGGTAGGAATGAGAGGAGTTACTTGTCTTGCTGCTATTTTTTTTTTAATACAATAAAGTACATTATTTTTTATCATGTCCTAGTTTACTTCCTACAGAAAATCAAGACATACAAGGGGAACTTTTTCTCTATTTATTGCTAAGCACAAAAATCCCTTCATTAATGCATTATTTGGTAATGGGTAGCTATGTTCTACTGAGAAAAGATAATGTGCTCAGGATTTTCCTTGGTTATGTTTCTTTTTGCAAATCTTAATCATTAACGCTGAGTATGCTTGACTAAGGATGGGAAAAATAAGCTCATCAAAACATGTGACATTAAGATTTTCCCTATTAGTCAAGGAAATTCCTGCTGCCAATTAATTTCCATGCTTTTGAACAGCTGTCATTTGTGGTGTTTTCCCTAAAAACTGTTCACATTCTTAGTAAAACCCATGAGTAGAAAAGAACTTACCAGAACATTTGCTTTTGATCTTTACTATATGCATGTATTTTTTAAGGGCTGGCTGGCTCATCTTAATCCTTGAGGAGGTCTGAGAAAGTCATTTAGACTGATTTTTATCCTACATTTATAAAGATATGGGAATGTACAAACTAGGATAATTATATATATTTGGTTACATGCATCATATAATTGTTCTTCATGTCTATGTATAGAATTTGTCTTAACAAGGGGGCTTCTCTGGCCCCTTTGAAGAGTATCCTGGACTTAATTTAAGCAGAGTTATTGGTGAAGCAAGGGTTGTTCATTAAATGTTTCTTATTTGTATACAGTTATACAGGACCACATTTGGGAGTTTTTAGCACTTTATGAGAGCTGTAGTTTTTCAGAGCATGTTTGCCAACAGTTCCAAGTTCTGGCCTGCGGGAACCAAATTTTTCATATGCAGAACTTATTTTCTGTGCTCTTTCCTGACATTAGTCTGCCAAGACCAGAATTTGTTTGACCTGCAGGCCGTTTGATAAAGCTGTTCTTTTCAAGTTTGCATGCCTAAGCAGGCAGGCTGGGTGTTTGCTGCTTTTTGAGATATTTACAGTGATTTAAACATGCTTAAGTCTGTATTTTTAAGTAATAAGCCTAAGTATCCGAGGGCCAAATAGTAGTGGGCACAAATGTCAAAAGATGGCCTGGTGATAATAACTTTTCAGTAACAACACTGCTTTTATGCTTAAAAACAGGCAAAGCATTTAAGACTTTGTGGTTGGTTGTCAAATATCTCTCTCTCTCTCTCTCTCTCTCTCTCTCTCTCTCTCTCTCTCTTCCTTTTTAGACTATGGAAATAAAGTCTAGTTCTAGTCTAGATGTTTTCTTGAGCTTCATTACTATCCCTGTATTTGAGCTGTGTAAGAGGGATTGTGGTATCTTCTACTGCCAGTAGGGGTAGGGAAATGGAGTGGAGACTGCTTTTTTGAATTCTGATTTAAATTGATTCCAGTTGCTTGGCTTGACTCTCAGGATCCCAACACCTTGAGTCACATGCAGCTGAGTGGGCTTTATGACTCAGCTGGCTACTAAGACCCTACTGTTTTATTTATGGTCAGGCTTTGCTTGAGGTTCTGTCAAGAATTTGGAACAAAAATGATAGTAGGTCAAGTCTGTACACTCTAAACAGGAACAGAGAAAAGTCCCAAGACTAGGAGAAGGCATCCAAAAAGACTTCACACTGAAACTTGCCATGTCCTGGTAGTTATAATATACTGAGAGATCATAAGATTGCTTGGTGACTTAACTGGGTTTTAAGTCTGTGTTTTATAAAGACGTATGCAGGATCTTTAATTGTATATCACTGGATTGTGTCTAATATAATGAATATCAATTTAGTAGTCTTTTTGGGCAAATTATAGTCAGCATTGCTACATGAATGAAATCCTTACATCCTTATTGTGTTAAATTAAAAAGATTTTTGGATAATATCCATAATTCTTGAACAGTGTCCCAAATTCATTTTAAATATTACATATCAGAGTTTGTATTAGTAAGCTTAAAATTCTCTTGATTTTGTTTTTGAGCCTAATGTGATATTCAGTGAAATATAACTTGAATTTGTGATAATGCTCAATTAATTTGTAAGAAGGTAAATAATACACAGTGTTTTAGAATTTGAAATACTTTTCAGACCTAGTAGTGAGCAGAGAATCATTACTGCACTTCATGATTTTTATCTTTTTTTTTTTTTTTTAAGTTTTTAAATATTTATTTATTTATTTATTTGTGTGTGTGTGGCCAGCTCAGCCCACCAGGGGGCGGGGCTGGCTGGCTTGTGGTGCTGGGGTATTGAACCGCGGTCCCTTGTACTTTGCTAAGCTTGTTCTAAGTAGGTGCTTTAGACCACTGAGCCATCTCACCAGCCCTCTTTTTTTTTATATATATATATAACAAGAACCACAACTTCTTGGCCCCTTCTTGCCCCAGCCTTTTTCTGAATCACACTTCCTGGGGAGGTGCTTTCATTCTGTTCTGATTCTGAGAAAAACCACTAATTTGCCTTTCAGACACTTCTCTGGCCATTCTATTCCTATGTTTTTCTTATTTATGGTTTGCACGTTTTTTGGTTTTGTTTCATTTTTCTTTGGCCTTCCATAAGAACCAAATTGGCTGTATTAGGAGCTGTGAGTGAACATTTCTTGGGCCAGGCAGGCCTATATGAAGAGACAAACATTTTAACTGAATGTTCAGTGTAGAGATAGCTCTCTTCCTGTGGGTATCATTAATATTTTGCCATTTTCATTGTGTTCTCCAACATCCTATATATCTCAAGTAGAGACTGAATAGCCAGTCTGAATTCCTCCTATTGAAAAATATTCATACCTGAAAGGAGCACATCGTCACACTTAGGGTTTTTTTTTTTTGTAATGGTAGTAATATTCATGGAATAATATCCTGGAGCCAGATTTATGACAGTTACTTAAAAATTAACACCTCAGCCTTACCTCTATATGTGTTTATAATAAATGCTTTGCTTCACTATTTGTCTTTCAACAGCTCATAATTACATGTCAGGAGGCATAATTAGGTCGGCAGAACTACCTTGCTGACATCCAAACATACCCCTTTCCTTCCGTATTTAAATTTTGAGAGTCTACTGCACATTATTTCATAGTGGTGGTATTCTTTTTAATGCACAGAATCAGAAAGTCATAAAGTTCTGCTTTCTAGCTCAACCATTTACATGTAGCTTCACACCTTGTCCCACTGGGAAAACTGTAGGGGAAAAAAAGCAGGATGGTATTGATAGATGATTCAATTCTGATTTGACCTCCCCTCTACCTGTTCTATGTGATTCTTTCATTTATTTGTTCACTGTATTTATTCAGTCTTATAATATATTTCTATCAAGCACATGTTTTCTGCCAGGTAGTATCTAGATGCTGAGCCTACAAGTGTGAACAAGGTTAATGAGGTCTCTGTGCTCATGGAATGGACATTCTAGTAAGAGAGGAAAGCAGTATATACCAAAACAAATAATTGAGATATGTACTGTAAGGATAATGTAAGTGACAAAATAGAACTGAGCCTGTGAGGAGGAGCAGAGAGACACTACAAAATGGCACAGTTCAGGTTGATTTCAGGCATTTAGGGCTTATGGGAAGACAGCCAGCAGGGTAGTCCAATTTTGTCTTGGTTTTCATGGGACCAAAGGTGCTACACTATCTTATGGCTAGTTAGAACCTGATTGGCTTAGCTGTTGTTGTCCTTGAGAAGAATTCTCTGTTGCTGAAACTGTCAGAGTACCTGGCACTCAGACTGTCAACTATTCCTTTTCTGAGAAGAAAGAAGTTTCAGATCACCTGGTTGATTCTTTGTAAAATTTTCAACATAGGAGGTCACAAAGAGGGAAGTTGTGTTTGTATGTTTGCTCATCCTCATTTTTAAGTTCCTTTAGAGACTGAGCAAAAGTTTAGAGAAATAATTGCCAAGTACTTAAAATATCTTCAATGCACTTCATGGTAGGGCTCCCTATTACATACAGCAGATTGTGCAATAAAAAGACTTCTGAGTGATTATACTAGTTCCTAACTGTTACATGCACAATTTTCTTAAGTACCTCAATTTGCAAATAAACAGTGTGCACGTACTTGCCCAAGAATGAACGAACGTAACCAGCTTTTCCCTCCATCTCCTCCTCCTGGGGTTAGACAGGGTGTTGTCCTGTTTATTCTTATCTCCCAGCCAATGCGTAATAGAATAAGCAAAACATAACATGCCAGTACAAAGGGCCTGCTGTTTTCAGCCTCCTAATTGTGCTCCTTTCTGCCGGGAAAGGAAGCAGTCATAAATTTCTGTCATTATCTTAAGTAGCAAGGTTTCACAGCTTTGGAAATTTTTCTTTGCTTGTTCTTTGTTAGCTTGTACTTGGGTTTTTGATCTCCCAAACCAAAACCACCATAATTTTAAACAATGTTCCTTCAAATTCTGGGTGTCCCCTGGTTTCAAGGCAGGATACAGC